AAAAGAAGTAGATTTGATTGTGCATCTGCAGTCTGTACAGTATATTCTAATTAATATGCAAATTAGGTAATTAATATGCACAAATATCAACCCAAAAATTATGCCAGTGAATTATTCTAGAGCACCTCTGTCCTAAGTTTCACTGAAATCTGACGAATAGTAGGATATGTAGACACCAAAAAAACTGGTTAAATTATGTAAATTACTAGTAGATAATCAAAACTCATTAACATGAGACTGTCCCTGTTGTGCAATGGTAAACAAAATTGAAACCTGTCAGCCATTTTGAATCAGAACATGACATGATATACAGCATAAGTGTAAAGCTTGATTTGATCCAGTTCTGGAATGATAGAAAACTTGGATTTTGATGTTAGCTTTAAAATGGACACCATTTGATCTTCTTTGATTGGATAGTAAAATAAACGAATGTGTACACATGTGACGTGATGTATTGTGATATCTGAATTTGATTTGACAAGCCACGTCAGGAATACATCTCTGGAACAGAATTTGTTAAAACAAAATGGCTGATAGTTGGCCAATTTGAATTCAATCTAAAAAAAAATAAAAAAATTATGATCTATGTATGTAGGAAGCTTAAACGAAATCTGTTGATACAGAACTGAAATCTAGTTCCGGAATGAGCTTGATCTCGATGAATTTTTAGCACTGAAATGACCGCCATTTGGCAAATGTACAAGTATCCCAAGGGTTTGAAGTTTAAACATGACCAGTCCAGGCGTGTCGTAGAAGCAGACATGGACGCACCACACCCATACAGATGAATAAATAAGTGCTTGTTCACAGACTCATACACATGGATTGAACAAATCACAGTTGTAGATCACTTGAAAGCACCTATGCACCAAGTTTCATTTAAATCTGTTAAGTAGTTCTTGAGATATCAGAAACTTGCCTGATTTATGCAAATTAGATAAATAATATGCATGGTTTTCTACCACAAACAAATCAGGTCAAGTGTCAGTGAAATCAGTTGAGTGCTTACATAATTACACACTTACAGACACACAGAGGTACTTTAAGACCCACACACCCTTAGGGTAACCTGACATTTACCGAACACCAATAGGTATTTCAAGACAAAACCAGAAAATGATAAATGTATAAACAGACTCATAGTAGGTGAAAGATTCAATAGCTCAATGTGACGTGACACAACATATGGCAGTAGTTGACTTTATGTATGAAGGTGGGTGACCAATAGCTCAGACACAACACAACATGGCAGTAGTTGACTTTATGTATGAAGGTGGATGACCAATAGCTCAGACACGACACAACATATGGCAGTAGTTGA